AGAAATTGAAGAATTTGTCTGACGTTCCCTTCAGAAAGGAGAATTGGCAACATGACCTACTAGCAAATTTAAATAATATTTAAATTTTTTCATATTATGCACTATTTATGGCATTAAATTATAAAATTTATATAAAATTGCCATTCATATGAAATCATTAACTACTTCTATATATTCTAAGCACACTGCATATAGTACTTTTATATGTTTACTTATTATCATTATTTCATATGAAATCATTAACTACTTCTATATATTCTAAGCACACTTCATATAGTACTTTTATATGTTTACTTATTATCATTATTTCATAGTTTCTCAATTTAGCCCATTTTATCTAAAAACGACGCTATGAAAATGCAGCCCAATCGGTAATCGCAATATTTCAAAAGAGCATAAGTCAACTTTCAATAGCAAACCACTGCAAAAAGGACAAACGAGACAACATAGCCGACGGACATTGTCGTAAAATTGTCGATTCAAACAAATTTTGTCAACTCCGCCACAATGCGCAAAATTCGGCGTCAATATGTATGCGAGCTCATGTGTATATTTGTATGTTTGTCGACAAAATCGTCATTTGTTTTTTTTCAACAACACAATGTCCGCGCGAACTCGCCGTTATTTCGTTGGCTTGCCACCATACACAGAGGCGTGTCAAGTGAGGGCTCATAATATAGGTATTACTATGTTGCTTAATGAATATTGAAAAATACTGATGCATAAATGACTTATTTTCGTAATATAATAATAATATACGTAAAGATACAAATACACATAAATTCATACTTATAATCGTTTTTAAAATAAATTCCATTAATAAAAACTATCTGAAATAATTATGTGGCAGTGCGCCCCTGACCCCTTCTTGCTAGCGATCGTTCAACTTGCTTCTCGCAAAAAGCAAAAAGTGTGGACAAATGTCATTGCTTGTGCGGGGCAAGAAGAAGCAAGCATCAGCGTACGTGTATTTAAGAATGTATGTGTGATTATCACATTTGTGTAAATACGCATAATAAGGAAATATTCAATAAACCTAAACATATGATCATATTTTCCTGATATATTATAATTATATCAGGAAGTAAAATATTGCTATTAAAGAAATTGAAATATGATATGCTTAGACTCCAATTAATAAAATAAAAAAATTAAATAAAATTTAATTTACATGAGTTTTAGGATTCGAACGTATAGGTTCCCGCTTACGACCTCAGCTACCACAAAAGTGGAAACGCGGCCGCTTAGCCACCGTTTTATTGTTATCCTTTGCTCAATAAGCAATTACTCACGCAACGCACATACATAAGTTGGAAAAATTACCTATTAAATGTTTATTTTATTATGAATTCTGGGGTTTTTGCCGGTAATACAGATTTTTAATTTAGAAGGCTTTTCATAATTATAAATTTGTCATATCATAGATATTGAAAACAGAAATCTAAATAGGTATGCGCAACGATTTTTCATTTAGAATTCGTTGTGTTTATTTATATTATTTCGCTTATTGCGTGGTGTATTTTTCTTTTTCGAAGTTATATTTTTCGATGTTCCCTCATCTGGAATCACAAATTAGTACTCAAAAAGATTTCATTTAACATTTGCTTCTTCTCTATTCATTTACGTTCTCTGTTATTATAACACCCAACACAACACATGTTCAATCTTCTTTTCCTACTGGCAGCCATCGTGTGCGCATATTTCCTTCGGTATTACACAGCGACCCCCACAGTATTTTTATACTCTCGCAACCTGTTGCTACAGAATATAATAGGTTTGTTCACCTAACGGTTGTTTGTATCACCTAAAACTAATCGAGTTAGATATAGGGTTATATATATATAAATGATCAGGATGAAGAGACGAGTTGAAATCCGGGTGACTGTCTGTCCGTCCGTGCAAGCTGTAACTTGAGTAAAAATTGAGATATCTTTATGAAACTTTAATCAAAAACAAATAAATTGTTGTTAAGTTCTAAGGATGTAACCGAACATTTTATACTCTCGCAAAGTCAAATGGTATACTCGTTTGAGATTTCTTTGTGGATTTACTGATATTTTCGGTACAAGGTCAACTATAGGCACTGGGGTCCACATATTTAGTACTTTGGGGTTTGAACAGTTTTGGTTCGATTTAGACAATTTTTGGTCACATACTTTGAACGTATTATTCACGCAAAGTTTTACCCCGATATAATCATTGTTGCTTGATATGCATAGTGGAAAGTGAAAGAATCAGATGGAATTGAAAATGGTGTTATATGGGAAATAGGCGTGGTTGTAGTCGCACTATAACATAGAAATATGAAAAGAACGTTATGCACCGAATTTGGTTGAAATCGGTTAAGCAAATCCCAAGATATGGGTTTTCACCTAAAAGTGGGCGGTGCCACGCCCACTGACTAATATTGAACGCGATTCCTATAAAGTTATCTCATACCATCCCAGAGATAAAATTTAATGTCTCTGGCGTGTTTAGTGCTTGATTTATCGCGCTTTTAGTAGTTTTTAACAGTACCGTTATATAGGGAATGGGCGGAGTTGCCACCCGATTTCAACTATTTTCACACCGTCAATAGAAGTGCTAAAAACATTTGCTTCCAGTGAATTTTGTTATTATAGCATTAGCGGTTTAGGAGATATGCACATTAAACCTATTAGAAGTGGGGCCACGCCCACTTTAAAAAAATTTTTTTTAACTGCAGATGCCCCTCCTTAATGTGATCCTGTGTACCAAATAACAGTCTTGTATCTTATTGCGGAGCTTAGTTATGGCAATTTATTTGTTTTTGATTAATGGCGTTTTGTGGGCGTGGCAGTGGTCCGATTACGCCCATCTGCAATACCAACAAGTTTCATAAAGATATCTCAATTTTTATTCAAGTTACAGCTTGCACGGACGGACAGACGGACGGACGGACAGACAGTCACTCGGATTTCAATTCGTCTCTTCATCCTGATCATTTATATATACATAACCCTATATCTAACTCGATTAGTTTTAGGTGATACAAACAACCGTTATGAGCAAACAAAACTATTATACAACAGGTTGCGAGAGTATAAAAATGAATAGTGCTGTTACTGTATTAGCCAATCATGGGTAATTTTAGGTTCGTTGAATCCGTTCCGGTCATTTTGATGTCAAAAGTCTAACATGCTCTGGTTGAAAATATCAATTAAATAATTGAAATCGTTGAGTCCTAGCATCATATATGCACTGCTTCGATTACGCAAGAGTTAAACACGCACAAAAAACCATTTGTTTAAATCACGTAAAAAAACTCGATGTATATACCATATGAGCTAACGCAAAAAACCTCATGGACAAAATTTCCATATGCGATTTGCTGCTGATTGGCAACAAAATTGATTCATTCCTGATGATCAGATTACTTACGACAACGTCAACTGAAAACGGTCGTCGTCGAATCGCGGTGAGACGGCGCAAACGATAGCCAAGCCAGGATTAACGATTCTGTTATGTATGTATACGGTGGAATTGGTAGGGAATCATCTACTATGATTTATTCTTCTATGACCAAACTCTTAATTCAAACATGTACTGTCAACAATTTGATCGCCTGAATCAGTCGCCCAGATTACAGCCAACGTTGGCTAATAGGGGAAAAATTTAGTTCGATCAGGATAACGCCGGACTGAGTAATGATAGTGACTCGCCAGAAGCTCGTGCTTGGTTGGGAGTTTCTTTTATATCCATTTTAACTCCGGACCTGGCACCAAGTGATTTCTACCTGTTCCTGCTATGGCGAATGATTTTGATGGTGAAAAGTTCGCCTCAAAAGAAGCTTAACTTAAGAAAATCGACTTTCTCTGGTTTTTGCCAATAGGGACGAGGTGATAAATTGATAATTTTCCAAACATCCAGAGTAGATGACAGAAAGAGAAACGGTCATCCTATCGTGGTTCGAACCAATTCAAAACATAATATTATGCCAAGGTAAATGGATATATCGACCAGATCAATGTCAATACTTTATGATCACCACATGAAAGCCTACCAGCGGTCAACTGGTATCTTATTACAACGCATTTGAACCAAATTAGGCTCAACAGATGCAAGTAGCTTCTTCAGTAGCATGCGGTCAACGGCCATGAAAATATCCTTTTTTTAAGTGAAATAATCTTCACTGTTGAAGAAGTTTTTAAAATGTAAAACTACAAAATCTACGCCAAAGCTTTCAAAGATGCAAAAAAAACGTATTCTAAGGGTTCAACGTGGTCACCATCCAGCTGCTGTAATGGTTTGGTGAGGAGTCTTCTGTAAAGGATTTACACCTCTTTTCTTCTGTGAAAAAAAGTTAAAACTGGTTCAAAAGTGTACCAGCAGAATGTTTTAGAAGGCGTAGTAAAACAGTTTAGCAATACTCTCTTCGATGGAGAGTATTGGATCTTTCATCGAGATTCTGCTCCAGCACAAAAGGCAAAAACTACCAAGCAGTAGCTTAAAGCAATATTCCTGGTTTCATAGCTGCAGATGAGAAATCCAGATTAGAATTTATTGGACTACAATTTGTGGTCAGAGTTGCAAAACATGGCATGTAATGTCTACAAAAAAAACACATAGGACATATCATTTGTATGACCCAATCACATGACCCGTCATACAAATAGAATAAATCAAAAGCATTGTGAAACCAGACGACAGTTATTTTCTATTTTTGTGGAAGTAATCGAAGAATAATTGGCTAAGATTCTTTACTAGGCACATTGCCAGAAATGTATTAGTGCTACAACTCAGCATAACGAGATGTAATTAAGGCTAGTTTACAACCCGTTGATACATAAATATAAAGTGTAGCGTCATTATATAATATTCAAATATCTATAAAACTGATAACGAAATAAAATTCCATGTTTTAAATATCGCGTTACTATGAAATGGCAAAAAAGTGGAAAATATTAAAATGTAATTCGAACATAAATGAAATTGTATGAATTGTTTTATTGCAGATTAACATTTTGTAAACTTTTACTCACCTTGACATCTTGCATATAACATAACAACAATTTGTCACCATCGACGCATTTGGCCCAGTCTAGTACATCGTTTTCTTGTTCCTAGAAAAGTTTGAAATTTTATTTACATTTTATAAAAATTTTAAAAGAAACAAGATGTGTATTTAATACAATTTTTTGCACATTACTACTACTATAAAAGTAGAAAGCATTTTATAATTAAAATAATTTGTAGCATTGCTAATGTTGCACAATAATGTGTAGAGAATGAGCAAGTCTCAGTGCTTCACCTATAAAGAATATTTTGATTTATTTTCCATATCTCTATAAAATTTACAATATTGTAATTTAAATATAATAAAATGACCTATTGCAGGATCTGGTTAACATGATAAATATTTGTTTAATTTAAATAAAATAAACCTGTACACAATATAAATCTTAAACTATTTTTTAACGCAACGAAGAATAATTTTTTCGAAAAATACGTTTTGGCAAAGTATTTTAAAACTGATGTTAACTATTCGATGTCTTTATATACTTTCAATTGAGAATGTTTAAATGGCCTTTGATCAGGAGGCCAAATCTGGTGAATACGGTGGCATACGGTAGTGGTTGAGGGTGGGCTTTAGTTTAGCATCCCACGATTTCAGGGTTAAGAGGGGTATGGTTGGATAGAGGAGATTCTCCAGATCACGAATATATATGTTATTGCCGCCGGAAGCTTATAGTTTTCGAGATATTTGCATTTTAAGTTGAAAATTTCAGTGCGGAAAGAAGTTTGACGCGATTGAATTATGAACACCCCGGTGTTGGACCGACCGGGGTTATTGTTTTGAAGCGCGGCCGAAGGCCGCCAGTGCAAATAAGAAATCTGAACAAAAAAAAAGTAATGTTAAAGAGAATATATGACTCACTATAAACACAAATGCAAATAAGAAATCTGAACAAAAAAAAAGTAATGTTAAAGAGAATATATGACTCACTATAAACTTCAATTTTTATTAAGGATAATTATAATAACAGTGAAGATTTTGAAAATTTGATATATGAATACATATGGCGTAAAAATATAGTAAATCAGCATCATGATCCATTTGTGAAATTATCAGATGCAATAAAACATACGTTTAAGCCATAAAACCTTTTTATTTTATTAAAATGGAAAATTAAGTTCATAATATTTTGTAGAGGGTGATTGGGTTTTTTATTTATTTTGATTGCTTTCATCCGTTTGGATATGGCAACACTTATTATCTGACAACATGGAACCCATTTGTTATTGTTCATATTACGAAAATTGTGTAAAAATAAAATGCTTATTTAAAGCAAATACTTAAATATTTAATATAAAATAAATATGTAGAAACATTGTAGTGAAGTGTTAGTGTGTAATAAGTGCATAATATAAAAGAAATGATAACCATAAATCGAGAAATTGTAAAATGAAATTTGTGAAATTTTCAACTTAAAATGCAAATATCTCGAAAACTATAAGTTTCCGGCGGCAATAATCATATATATTCGAGATCTGGAGAATTTCCTCTATCCAACCACACCCCTCTTAACCCTGAAATCGTGGGATGCTAAATTAAAGTTTTCCCGTGGTTGACGTCATTCAACAACTCCTGAGCGATATTAATGCGACATTGCGTTTGCTAAAAATTTAGCAATTTCGGAACAAACTTCGCTGCCACACGTTTCATGCCCAAAACATTCGAGAAAATTTAAACATTCTCTGCAACTTCCCTAACTTTTTTTACTGTTTCGATGTTTTCTTCGCTTGATGACGAGGTCGCACCTCCAGGATGCTCATCGTCATCAACATTTTCTCGGCCTTCTGTAAAGCGCTTGTGGAATTCACCGAATGCAATAGTCAACATTTCAAGTGCCTTGGAGCACTTTATTCCACTTTTAACGCAAAATTTGATACATATTTTTTGATTCATTTCATTCAAAAGTCAAAAATCGAAAAGTACACAAAAACGTGACTAACATTTTCTGTTGTCAAGAACAAGCTACTAATCGAAATGTGTACGATTATAATTATCTTGGCCCGATTCTGTTCTTGTTGTTTATTAACGATATCTCTTCAGTAATAGAATTCTCAAAAATTTTATTATACGCTGACGATGTAAAGCTTTTTAAATCATACACTTCAACTGAGAAAAGGTGTCTGTTGCAAACAGACTTAAACAATTTGGTTGCAAGGTGTGATAGAAATGATTTGCCATTGAATCTCAATAAATGTAAGACGATGTGCTTTTCCCATAGATCTGTGCACCCCTCTTCTTACGTAATAAAACACCATATTCTAGAGCAAGTTTTAAACTATGTTGATTTGAGAGTTAATATGGAGCCTAAGCTTAATTTCAGTCTTCATATTGATACCATGGTCTTGAAAGCAAAAGCTGTCCTCAGTTTTGTTAAACGTTGGTCTAAAGAATTTAGAGATCCGTATATTACTAAAACACTTTATACAACTTTGGTTAGACCTATATTGGAATATGGCTCTGTGGTATGGAACCCTAGCTACCAAATCCATTCTGACAAGTTAGAGTCGGTTCAAAAACAATTTTTACTTTTCGC